AAGTGCAGTTTTTGCCATTTCGAGAGGTACACTTCTGAAGTCTCGGAATTACATGGATCCCCATGGCGGAGAGAAAGTCTAAACTGACTTTTTGATGCTTAGCAACTGGAATTTCGGAGCGAATTTGTTTCAGAATATGCATTAAGACTAGTTTTATTTGAAATAATTAATATCTTAATTTTTTCAAAAACTGCACTTATATGCGCCTTGTCCTCACATGAAAATAGCAAGTTAAATAAGTAACATCTCCATAAAAAGTGGCGTAGGAATGGACACTAGAATTCCGAAAAGAATAATAACAATCAAAGATACCTATTGATTCATTGATCCTGTTTGGTGAGGAGAGGAGGTACAATTCACTTAAAAATTTGAATATGAATTACTGACCACCTAGATTAAAAGGAGGAAGTTTTCTCAAGACTTGTAGACTGAATATATTTATTTATTACATTGACAATTAGCGATGTCCCGGCTTAAAGTCAAACCACGATTGCTTATCGTAGTTCATGCTTCCATGGAAGTCCAGTTATATTTGAAGATCACTGCCAGGATCCATAAATTTACTATGATTTAGTACTCGTAAATGAAGACAGATATTTGAGCAAGATTTTTTATTTGAGATCAGCTCCTAGACTTCTATAATTCTACATTCCTGTTTTTTCTTTTACCTTTTAACTACCGGTCGTATTTGCTTTATCTCGCAATAAACTACGAGTAAGTAAGAGAAAGAGGGTAACAATATGTAGCAAAGCAAAAAAAGGTCCACATTTTTAACATAGTTAAAATTGAGGTTGGTCTATAATGAAAACGATTTCAAGCGCTGAGCGTTAACTACAGATAAATGCGAGTTTAATTTCGTGCAATATCACCTAAGATATCAAATTCCTGTATAAAGCGAGGAAAAAATACTTGGAGCTGTAGATCTCGATTTAATTTCTGTGCCAGATGTTCTTCTCATCGGAATAACGGGCGAATCTATTAGAATTCTTGTCAAGTTAACAGGAACATTTGGCTCCGAAATATTGTGAAAGGAGCAGGCTCTGCAAAGTTTTTTTTTTTTTTTTTTTTTTTCCATTTTTTTATTCAATCTAGAAGACAATTTTTGACGAACACTTAGAAATTTAAGTTGCCTTTCTCATTCAACTTTTTCTTAAACGAAAATACCTTTAAGGACTACTTACCGCCAAGATAGTTAATCAAATCTCAAATTGATTTCCTAAGATATATTGAGCGTATTCTCTAAACATGTTGCAAGGCGATGCTGCTTAATTTTTACCGCGGGAGGGGAGAAAGGAGAGAAAAAATACGATTTTTTGGATTAAGTCTTAGGTAAAACAATCAAAGAGGTGGAGACTGTCACTAGCCTTTTTTCTCATATGACAGGAATGTTACAAAAGAGACTCTTTCCAAATCAGGAAATTTTATCACACTTTTCCCTGATTCCTATGCCTGGAGAATATATCCGGCGGAGACCAGGCAACCTGTTGCACCAAGCGCCAGTTCGTGCCCGCCAAATCCTTGATTCAATCGAGCTTTTCAGCACGTTTGTTCTTATCCGCGCTTGCAAGAGAGCACGATTATCCATTCATTTGTACTCATCGGTGGACATTTAACAAACAGCCCGTGCTAGGGTGGACCTCGATCCAGTTGACTCAATGAAAAATGTCTTTCCCTCTCCCTGGAGTTGTAGTTAATAGGTTACGAATCTTCTAAAAATACAGGATCGATTCCTGTCAGTTGGCAACAATGTTCTTCCTCCATTTAAATCCATTGTGCTTCACTGAGAATCCCTATAGGAATGCCATTTCCCTGAGTCTTGCAGGGATCCTGATCCATTTCAAAGGGATGCATTTTTTTGCATTTGAGGGGAGCAAAACATTAAAACCTATCAATTTTTACATTTTGTTTTACTTATATGACTTAACTTCCGTGCACGACTCTAGACCAGGGTTGGACTGGATCGCATCTAAGGACGTAGACTCTTGGCTGGTTAAAGGGGCGTAATGTGATATTTCCTGGATGGGCATCTATCCCGCACGTGGAGAGGGGCTCAGAAAATTTTGGCAAATCAGCACAAGTTTACAATATTTTCAGGTTCAAAGTTTATTGATCGCACGGAGTAAAAATTGCAAAATTGAACGTACTGAAGTTACCGACAGACTTCCGAAAATAAAGAAAACAGAACAAATTAAAGCTACTAAATGTATCCAAGCACCATTACTTCCGAAAGAACCGAGCCAGTGCTGCGGTTCTTACGAGCTTAAGACGTGGGTCTGCAAATCCAACCTAAAAAAGAATCAGACAAGAACCTGAAAAAATATGAAAGAACGAGTACCAACACAACCGAAGACAGGAAAGACGTATTCGGGCCTCTTTTTTTAACTTGTCTCCCAAATCTGAGCGACACCTCATTGACAGCGTATAGCAGAGCATCGAGAGCTCACGCTTCGCGTCATCGCGCCTTCAATTTTTCAGATGCAGCACGGACGTCCATCAAGTGCGAATAGTTGTATCTCTGCGCCGTCGTCAACGCGCATCCTTTCACTCGCTTTATTTCCATATTGTGTTTGTTTCCGTTTGTCTTATTCCTAATGGTGCTTCAAGCACTACGTGAGTAACACAGCCGAAGGTAGGAGAGATGTGTTCGGGCCTTTTTTTAACTTTTCTCCTGAATATGAGCGACACCTCATTGACAGCATGTAGCAGAGTATCGAGAGCTCACGCTTCGCGTCATCGCGCCTTCAATTTTCGGGATGCAGCGCGGACGTCCATCGAGTACGAATAGTTGTATCTCTGCGCCGTCGTCAACGCGCATCCTTTCCTTCGCTTTATTTCCATATTGTGTTTGTTTCCGTCTGTCTTATTTGTAATGGTTCTTCAAACTAGTAGTAGAACAGAGCACTGCGAGTTCACGACTCACGCCGCGCCATCGCGTCTTAAATTTTTCATGTGCAATGTGGACAGTATCGTCGAGGCAATATATTTTTTAGTTTTCCATCGAATAAATTATGAGACGCAATTAAACATTTTGTAACGTAAAATCGACTGCGTTAAGCAGAAAAGAACCAAGCCACATCAGCTATTGTCAAATTTAATTGGGCAATTTAATTGGTTACATGAAAACAGTAGTGTAGATTTTTGAGAAAATTTCAGTGAATTTTCTGTACAGTACGAGGCAAATCCCCTGAAGTTTTCAAAGGAATCCGCACAACAGTTCTTTTGTAAAAAATCAAATTGCCCACTTAAATTTGGCGATAGCTGATGTACTTTGGTTCCTTTCCGCTAGACGCGGTTCAAATGTAGTTACGCTGATTCTGGACAAAATATGCGAAATGCGAAGAAGGTTGAATTTCCTCGTTTCGGTCCAAGGTCGAGAGGAGGAAGCAAAGGGACGACTCCCACGAACTTTCGCACGTGGGATGCTCGAGAGTGTGGCAAATTCTCGAATGCATATTCTGCCCTGCTAAGGAAGAACGCCGTATGAGCCTTCAGACGTTGCCAAGTTTCCTTCGATAAAAACTGAATTTACAGGGAAAATTTTTCATATTTTTCCCCAAAATTTTCAGAAAATTTTGTACGCACTTTAATCTAAAACATCTGAAAATTTCAAGAGAAAATACGCATGAATGTCGTTAAAAACAGATGCTTTATCAAGGGAAATTTGGCAACTCTCGAATGTTCATACGGCGTTTTTCCTTAGCAAGGCAGTATTGACGCTGACGCTGTGAGACCGCTTCTTGGACGTGTCCTATTTTTCCTTGACGGCAACGGTGCATTGGATTAATGTTTAAGCTTGACATAGGTCAACGGTGTTATTATAGTAAGTTATGTCTTAATGCGAAAAGTACCTAAATGGAATGTAGGAGAAATATCTCTTCTTGGTGAATGCATTCCGGAATTAAAATCGGGAGGAGGACTTCTGTAACCACTTCTGTGCAAAAGCTGTCTTTATCAGTGGCGTGGCGTGCATTGCGATATATCGATTGATCTAACATTTAAACCTATGGAAAAGGATCGATAAACAGGTTGTTCGCAGCGAACACCTTAATGATCTATTCTTTACCATAGCTTCAAATGGGGCAATATCGATACATCCCGAAGCACGCCACGCCACTGGTCTTTATCCCATAAGAGGATGATTTGGCTCAAGTATTAATGAATACTCTGAATAGTAGCTACATCAATAAAAATATATCGACGGTGAAACTACCAAACCACGTATCTCGTTTGCGGTGTTTAAAAATTTACGATCACATTTTATTTTTTTGAAGTAGACCAAATCAATATCATTCCTTGAAATTTTCACAGAATTTTCTCTGCACGAAGAGGAAAAATCACAGAAATATTCAAGACTGGACGTTAAGTAGTTTTTCATTTAAAAAATAAAGTATGGCAGGAAGTCTGCGACGTCGCAAACCGAGATACGTGGTTTGGTAGTTTCACCGTCGATATGTGTTCTTGTGTTACGTTTGGATAATATGGGAAGTGACAGTGAGGCACAAACCAATACAACTTTTCTGTCAATTTTGGTACAGTTTTCGCTGAAATTTAGCGCAGAAAACAACGGTGGGACGGGGGAAACGTATTCCTCCGATTGCAACGTTGTTACTATCAAATTTCTTCAAGAAAACTAGCTAGCATTTTCTCTTGAAATTTTCAACCGGAGGCTAGGGTTATTTTGTATTTCACTTCCCGTATTGACCAAATTTTTGTGTTGAAATTTCTCTCTGTGTATATTCGATGTGGCAACCAGCGTCAAATATTGTGCGTAAGAAGCGAACAGGAAAACACATTTGGTCGAAAATCTGAATGTGAAAAGTGCTTACCTACATGTACTGAGTGCACATTATTTTTCCACTCAAAAATTCGTTATTTATAGTCAAACTTCACACCAGTGACGTAAAATCCACCGCAAATCACACTCGTCAGAACTTTTTTTGTGGTGCAGTTCGGAGTGTAGGGATTTCGATATTGTTATCCTTTTCTAAGTCTTTCTGCGAGCAGACTCTGTCAGTGTGTGCAGTGAGTACAGAATTCGTAGTTTTTAGAATGTGTCGAATGAGCTGCAGGTGTTTTTGCCGTGTTAGTGTTGACTTAAATTATGCTTTAAAAGGCAGCCAGCGCTGTCAGTATATTTGTTTAATTAATATTGTAGTTACATAAATTTTTTTTGTTTATTTTTCCTTTCTTCCCCACCCTTAAACTCTGTTGCTTCAAAAGTTGTAAACGTTGTTTTCGGAGAATCGGTTGAAAATACGGTTTTTTGAGGACTTGCTGAAGCGGCGCACGGTGGATCGAGTCAATGGGAGGGGTCGGTCATCGCGCATCACGCGTCTTATTTTCTCTGATTACGGAGATTTCCCACCCTTAGAATAGAGCAAATTACACTGAGCTAATGTATTTTTCTTCGTAGATTCCACTTTTGATCATATTTCAGCCGAATAACGAGTTTTAATACGAGTTTGACACACTTTTTCATGACTATTGAAATTGGGATCCTTGATAGCTGTTTTTTCACGTTACTTTCGGCAAATGGGACCGTAAGCATCTTACATAAAGAATAATTTTGCAGAACTTGACTCAAGAACATTACTTGAGGAGTGAGGTAGGGCGTCTTTACAGCCCCCTCACTACGAAGGTTGCCATATTTCTTTCAATTTCTGCTAACATAGTTTTTTGTTCATGTTAATTGGTTTCTCGCAATTGCATACTGACACATATACGGAACATTCTGATAATGTTCATTTTTCTTCTCTTTTCCTCCAGCCAGTCAATTGACGTTTTCATTTTTATGAACTCTCTACTCTTTCAGTTATTCAACAAATATTCATATTTCAAAAAATAGATCAATATATTAAAGAAATAAAAAAGAGATGTATATACTGTAGCTTCTTTTTATCGAGTCATCCTAGAATATTGTTATAGGTACTTATCACCACATAAAAAAATTGAATGTGCAGGGAAAAAAAAAAATTATATCAACTTCCATTATTTCGTTTTGTTCCTCAATGTTTGGAGTGAAGTTTGAAACATATTTATTGAATAAATTTTAAAATAGGAGGAAAATTTTTTTTCATGCAAGTTCTGATCCCTTGAAGAGCCTCTGAGAAGGACTATATTGTCTCTTGAAGAAATTTCTTGTATTTCTTCTTTTTTAACCCACCACCAATTTTTACTTTTTCGCTACCCTAGGGTAGAGAAAGTATTGTCATCCTCCAAGGGGGGAAAAAAGTTGAAATTTTATTTGTATGGAGCTCATGAAAGAGTTCTTGGTATGTTGCAGACATTTTGCAAGAAACGGGACGTGTGAAATATACAATGCGCAAAACATACACCTTAAACTTTATCGTACAGTATAAAACGCTGATCGAATCAGCTTCAAAGACTAACAGAAGGTTAATGTATCGTCCAAAAATATCAACAAGTAAGCCAAAATCAGTAATCAGTAGAAAAATTATCGAGATTGAAGGATATCGTGTGATGCACGATTTTATTGATGACAATAGAGCAAGATCGGATTCCCAGCAGGCGCGACTTCCTATCATTCAAATGGACCGTTTTCGCAGATTAGCGGATATTAGCGGCTAATTATTACATAATATCATTCCTGATAGTGTACAGGAGGAAACCCAACAAAGGATTTTGCGGACACTTGTGGACATTTTTTTATCGAGCTATTTTAACATTTTTTTGGGCGTTTTTTTAAAGCAAGCTTTGGAGGTGATTTTGGTCCTCCTAAAAATATGCCAATGCACATTAATGATATACCAAAATGTTCCTTAAAGGGAGGAGAATAAGCATGTTTAATTGAAATTTTGATTTATCTGCCACAGAACTCATGCAAAAACGAAATAAAACCTTGAGAATTAGTCGGCAAATTTGATACCCCCTGCAATGTCAGCTTTAGGCAACCCGCATGTCAAAGCGGAAGGGTTCAAAGATCCTAGAACCGTGGATACATTCATTTTGGAAGCTTAACTACTAGAAAACCAAGAAAAAATATTTAGAATCAGACTTTTTTTTTTGTCGCCCATGACCGACCTCTACCATTGACTCGATCCACCGTGCGGCGTAGCCAAAAAATCAGTAAAAGACTATTTATTCCCCTTAGCCCCCTCTCTCCAAAAAAAAAAAAAAAAAAAAAAAAAAAAAAAAAAAAAAAAAAAAAAAAAAATGAGCGGAAAAACTTCTATCATAGAAATGAAGTCGGAGAGTTTATTTTTTCAGGAAATTTTATGCCGCAGGTAGTTAAATGAACCCCCACAGAACAATTTACTCAAATTTGATCTTGAATCCATCATTTAGTCCACCCAGATTTTTTTATATATAGCTTCGATATACTGCGCTGAAATTTTTTTTCTTGAGATAATATTTTGACTTAAAGCGTCGTTTCTTCTTCTTCTTTTTTTATAAGTTAAATTCGTGCGGATTTACCTGAAAGTCAGTTTTTTTGAGTTTTAGAAACGTTAGGTGTTTTGTTATCTTTTTTTAACTTAAATTTAACGATAGTAGAACAACGTTTCTTTAACTCAAAAAAACTAACTTTAAGTTAAATCCGCACGGATTGAACTTATACTTAGTTAGCTTAGCGTCAATACCTATAAATCATTGAGATTTAAGAGAGGAACTGATGCCGTTACATAGTCGCACGATGAGATGTAGTAGATTTCTCCTATGAAGAAGTTTTAGTGTGCAGTTCGCACCCAGAAATCCACAAGATCACAGAGGAAAATGCATCTTATACGAGCCTATTCTCATTTGACGCTCATTTGCCGATCTACGGCATTCCATCAAAGCCTCGGTGCATTTTCGAGCTCATTGCGAGGGATTTTATGTCACAAATTCTTATCGAGGAATGCCACGAGCACGCTCACCATGTTTTGCAGTGCATACGATGGACCATAAAATGCGCGCTCTCCGCAGTGTCTCTGTCATAAGGTCACCGCTTAATACGCTGCTAGATCTGAGCAGATCGGTAAACAAAGAATTTACGTATATCAAAGGCTTTTAGCGAAACGCTCGCATAACGTTATTCTGAAATAAGTTGTAGCGTACCCGTGCAGTTTTTTCATGAAGCCGAATTCATCGCGGTTCAATTTTTCATTCAACTTTTCTCCTGTTTTTGTAGTATATGAAAAGTTGGATTGCATGATATTGACATGAGAACAAAACATTCGGAGTCGAGGAATAGTTGAAAACAAGTTGAGAAATTGGCAGCATCAACTGAATGTCAGGCAGGCGACGTATTATTACAACTATCGCGACTTGTCAATTTTAATGCACGTATTTGACTTAGTTTTTGTATAAATTTCTCTAAAGAATCGATTAGTATAATGAAGTGTTCGTCGCGAATACCTTGATAATCAATTATCAAATACCTTCATTTATACCTTTAAATGACAGATCAATCGTTTCATCGCAAAGCAAGTCGCGCCACCGATTAAGTCTTTACCAAATTTTCGTAGGTATGTATTTTTACAAGCTTTCATGCTGCTGTTATACTACTGCTCGTCTGCTGTTTATTGGCGCGAGCAGAAATATGAGAGAAAGAGGGGAAAAAACTAATAGGACTATGGATATCATAATTGTATTCCAAGATTAACTCCAGCCCCGTTACGAACTTCATAATCGCAATTATTTCCCACTTAAGAGGGAACAATTTTCCGTATCAATGAGATAAAGAACCGTCAGAACGAGTGCAGAGAGAACCACGCTATCTTTCTCTCGTCCTTTTTATTCCCTTTCTCCTCACTTCTGAACAGATATTCATTGTGCGTATTCAGTGGTTATTATCTTCTCTTGTGTTACCCCAAAAATTTTACGGAGATTGTGTAAAAATAGTAAGTAAGTACTTGTGAAACATTCTTTGGATTATCGTTCACTCAAACGAGCAAGTTCAAGTGTTACTCGTCCGAAGTTTGTTGAGAGGGGGAAGAGGTATATAGTCCACATCTGAAATCCGAAAATTCAACGGAAAGAGAGTAATTTTTGTGGTCCAGTGCGCTCACCGTAAACCGGGGGATGAACGACGTTCGATCTTGAATATTTATTTATTTATTTATTTATCTATTTATTACTTTTTTATAAATATTTTTAAATGGCAAACAAAAAATGTATATTTTTCTCATTATATTTTCGAATTTCCACCACGGAAGAGATGTACCTCAAAGACCGTAAGAGCCTTAAAAAGATTCACCTGAAATCGAATGTAAATGTTACTAATACCAATTTTCTTGTTCAAAATTTTACTTATTTTTGCATGAGATCAGAGAGAAGTCAGTGAAATTTTCAGTTAAAAACTTCCAAGATCCCCTCGTTAAAATTACAATTCGCGAAGGGAACTTTGGCAGCAATGAAGCGTGGTTACGGCCTTCCGTGGGAGGGAACGACAAAATTTACTATGAGGTCCGTCCGAAATGAGACTTAATACGGCGAAGGGTCTCCGTTTGTCGCCGGATAAGAGGACACGACCTTCGGCCTTTAAAGCGTTCAAATGCTTCATTTTCATCTCTCTACCTTGTTTTTTTTTCTTTTTACAGGAAGACGCAGTCCAAAGACCGAAGGATGAGCAGCCACGGGGCAAAGTCCTGCCAGCCCTCGGAAGTTTGCCCGATCATCCTCTCGCGTCTGGCCGCGACGCCAGAAGGAAGCCGGCTGATGGTCGCCATCGCCGGGCCACCAGGGGCCGGGAAATCCACCCTGGCCGCCGATCTCTGCGCCGCCATCAACAAGGGCGCCTCCACCTCCGCCCCGGCCATCGTCGTACCCATGGACGGCTTCCACTACGACAACGTCGTCTTGGACGAGCGCGGTCTCCGCAAACGCAAGGGCTCGCCGCCGACCTTCGATTGCGACGGCTTCGTGGCTCTCCTGGCGAGGCTCAGCTATCCCTCGAAAGAGGTCGCCATCCCGGTTTTCGATCGATCCTTGGAGTTATCCCGGGCCGGGGCCGCCATCGTGGGCCCCCAGCATAGAGTCCTCTTGGTCGAGGGTAACTACTTGCTGCTCGACCAGGAGCCATGGTCCGATTTGGCTCCGTTCTTCGGGTTGTCTTTCTTCTTGGAGGTGCCTCTTCCTGAACTTGAGCGACGGCTCCTGCAGAGGCGTCTGGCGCACGGCCATGATGAGGAAGCGTCCAAGGAACATATTCGCGTTAACGATGTTCCCAATGCTAAACTCGTGCTCTCCAATTCCCGTCAGGCTGACTATGTTGTCCCAAATGAGTTTCATTAAGAAGTTGAGAGCCTTTTGTTGTTTAGCCGAGTTTCCAACCAAACACTGCAGCTGATTGTAAGACCTCTCGGTGGTTATGTACCGATAGCGAGACTGCAGAAATGCGCCTATAAGTTTGCGGCGCACAGAGGGTCGAGTCGATTTCAGAGGTTGGACATACAATTTTTGACTAAAACTGCAAATTTTGATGTTTATTTCGTGACATTTTAAATTTCAAGGGGTGCTTCTTGAAGAAGATTTCACGAGAAAACCAGTGAAACCACTGTTGTAACCTCACAGTTTTGTATAAACATAGTTATGAGAGTTTAAAGTTTCTAAATTTTGTCCGTCCTCTCCTATTGACCCAATCCACGGTGCGGCGTTGCAGACTTCCTGTCATACTTTATTTTCACTTGGAAAATCACTGAACGTCATTTCTTGAAAACTTGGGTGATTTTTCTCCTCTTTGTGAGAAATGTTCTGTGAGAATTTCAAGCCGTGATGATGATTCGGTCTCCTTTTAAAAAATAAAATAGGACCGGGGATTTGGAAACACCGTATTTAAGATACGCATTTTTGCAGTTTTGCCATCGATATGCAAACATCACAAATGAGTTTTGTCGCTTTAAATTACTCCCTTTCCTTTCATTGTTTTGAAATCCGAAACAATACCCTTGGAGTCCTTTCCCACTCGAATCGAATCACCCGAGCGCAGATTTGAAGCCTTTCCACCACCCCGAAGTTTACCACTTAATTCATGTAAGAGGCCACTTCTTGCATTTTATTTTTGGCCGCGGCCCCCCGAATTGTGTAAACCTGCTATAGCCTTTGTTATGGCATATCCAGAGCAGTTAATTATCTGAGCCATTTTGCCGCGCACTAAAAAAGACAATTACATGGCGCACTTGTGTACAAACGAGAATCGAACAAAAATATTTTTGTTGTTAAATTAAAGTGAGAAATGATTTACGTATATTTCTAATGTAAAAGCCTAAGTCAAAATAATTTTTGTAAGGTTTTAATGTCTTATTTCTACCTCATATATTTAAATAACCCATACCCCACTTGTAAAAATCGTTATTTTTTTAAATCATATGTTTTAATAAAATTGTTTTTATTTTTCGTAACATACGATAATTATTCTTCGCTCTTTTTCCGTTTTGAAAATGTCTGCATACCATATGCATCACCTGACACGACACGTCTCACGAGGAGTCTTTCCTAAAAGATGAATCGCTGAACATTTGTCCGCAACTATTTATTTCGCAAGTTTCTGATAAGACTTTGAAACAATGCAATCGAAAAGTTTGCCTTTCTACGCCGACTTGCTCAACAATGTAAGGAAGCAGTTTAAAGCCGGGACGATAAAAATTTGAGCATAAAATGCCTCCTTGATAATCGTCCTGTTGGCACCTCTCCAATCAGTGTCTTTGGCGGTTGACGATGACATTCCACGCCTGTTATTTATCATAGAAAAGTTGGACTAAATACCATGGCATTTCTTTCTCCGCACTGGGTTCTTAACTTCTTAAAAGTTTCAAGTATTTTGCGCCATCCGTTTTACCGCTACTGTTGATCTCGTCCCAGTTAGGTTTATGTGGGCACTGTTGCTTAGTGATAGTTTTACTTCCGTTAGCAAACTTCAGTGTTTTTTATTTTCGCTTTTCCCCTCACCTTCTAATAATATAAAATTTCAGTAATTATTGGGATCCCCGTGACGGAGACAGCAAGTTTTACCATCGAAATATGATGACAAATTTAAGGTGTTTGTCTGTCATAACTGTCATAACGTTTGGAGCCTCGGGTGAAAAGGAAAACAATGCAAGGTTGTTAGGAGGCTCTTCAAACTTAAAGGTAAACTAAAAGGCACCGTCTGGGCTGGCGTCTTCTGTATTAAAAGAGAGATGCACCACCTGATCGACCTAGTTCAAACAGTGGATTGGCAGTGAGTCATCACCATTAGTTCCTCACGGGTCAAGTTCACGAAAATCATATTATTTCCGAATGGATTCCCTGTACAATGACCCTTTCAGCAAACATTTCCGACTATTGTCCCCGCAGCCTTTTTCTTTCACAGGTAAATATAATGGCGACTATGAGGTAGTAGACCATCCTTTTTGCTGGTACACCGTCATTGATCGTAAAGAGTCTCGAGATCGGTTGCCTTTTCTCTGAAATCCGTCAGAAGTACAGACTGGAAGCGCTTAAGGCCTTTGAGATTCACTTGATGCACTGCCGCATAGAAGTAGAAAATAAATCTTGCTTTATAATGTAAAATCATAAGAGTATAGTGCATAACCACCTAGTGCAACACACACACACGCAAAAAAAAAAAAAAAAAAAGCCTAAGGCTTGAAGCGCTTTAATGGCTGGACCGCTAAGCGACCAGGGGAGCGTACGCTCTGATTAATTAAATCAAATTTTTTTTTTTTTTTTTTTTTTTTTTTTTTTTTTTTTTTCTCTTTTGGCGTGCGTGTGTGAAACATGCAAACATGCAGACATGCACACAATGCATTATAATGAACGGATGTTCCGAATCAACTTTGCTCAAATGGTACTATTCTGGATCATGATCTCTGTTTAAAATTCGAGGAAGACGCAAGACTCGAGCTGAATATGTTGTTTTCTTTCAATATTCTGTGCGTTCTTTTTCTTTCGTCGAAATCATACTGACCCGATTTCGTCGTCTCCTATTTCTTCTGCGAGGAACTATGTATCCGGTGAAAAATTATTTATGTTTCCAACAGATCATTTTCCAAACGTATTTATCAGTCAGCAATTTGCGTCGAGAATGCGTATGGCTTGTTGTCTTCTTTCTTGCTCGGGTTCTTTAATCTAAGTGTGTAACTTTTAGTTTCTGATTGAAAAACGCATATGGTTTTATCTCCTCTATTTCTCATATTATTTGTTTTTCCCCTATGTATGTATAGTGTGGTAGTAGTACAAGTTAGTGTTTTTTTCTCTCTATACAATGGATAACACTTAGTCTTGATTTTTAATATTATTATAAATATGTAGAAGCCAGCTAACATTGAATGTGATAGACTTTTTAGGTATGCTTTAAAGCTCGCCCTTCAAAAATCAGCCGGAAAGAAACTTTTAACATGAATATAAAAAAGGAACACAAACAGAAAAGCATAGCATATATTTGAATTTCTAAAAATGTTACAATCGTTGCACAACCAAGTGCAACTATTTCAGTTTTTTTAACCGATAGTATTCAAATTTTGAGTTGGTCCCATTTGTCAAAGATGCTCGACGATAGTATTTTCCATGAGGAACAGATTAGGTTGCAAAACTCAAATAGCTTCAGTTTTTGCAGCAAAAGGTATTCACCCCATCAAGAGCGAATGCATGAGCTCAATGAGTGAATACGAAGCGAATAGAGCCATGCCATGAACGGATAAAGCGCCTTCTATACCCCGGTTAGGCCACCATATATACGATGCTGGAGACAAAAATAGTGCCGACTCCGCACAAGCAATCTACGTATGAATTGCAAATAAGCGATGCAAAAGTTAAAGTCGGTGGTCAACACTCTTTTCTCTCAGTGATGACAGATAAGTGAAAGTGACTTGTTAAGAATTTTCTTCGCCGAGTGATGGTGCACTTCAGACGTCGGGTTGATCATTCTGCACAAAAAAAATTTCAAACTGATCGTGAGTCTTGTTCCCTGAACTGATTCCTGAACGTATCAAATAGCAATAATTACGAAGCGAAAAGTATAGCACTGACTGCCACCAATTATCGGAAATAACTTTAAAATCCGAGGAAGCCCATGGATAGGGCCTTTAAAATGTTCCGTCTCATCTGCATGTGGTCCCCACGGCGTAACTCATTGTCATGTGATAATGATCTTGCGCAGGAAATTAAATTTGATTACCTACTTCTTCACTCCCGCATCCCGCATGATTTTTTTCTTAGACTCTATCATTAAGCAATTCGTTCTCATCCACACACACTATGATTGATAGCCATATATTGGTGATCGATGCACCCTTTCTAATCAAATTTAAGTTTAGAGTTCTCACCAACATCTATTAATCCTAGGACTACCGATTTTTTGCTCCATTTTTAACTCTTCTATCGGTACTCACTAGTAGTTATGCTCACAAGCGACAGCTTTTCAAGACATGCCACCCTTTACGAGCATACTCACCAGTACTAGTACATAATTCCAGCACATTCGAGTTTTCAATAATGTCGAAATAATGCAGCATGCGACAATGCAAGATGTTGTCTACCTCTCGAAATCAATTCAATTTTCATTGAAGTTCAATTTGGCTTGTGTGGCAACATTGCGCCTCACTATTTGGTGATAAATTAATTCTGATTCAGCTTCAGCCGCGATCATTTTTTGTTTCAAGGGTAAGTGTGCCTCCTCTGCTTGGATTATGACATGGTTTCCAATATTTTTCTCCCTGTGAACTCGCTTTTGAAAACAAATTTACATACATACCAACGGTGAAACTACCGAGTCATACATCTCGTTAGCGGTACTTAAAAATCTCCACTCTCATTTTATTATCCTGAAGGAGAACAAATTCAGCATCATTCCTTAGGGTTTTTCACAGAGTTATCTTTGCACAGAGAGGGCAAATGACGGAACATATCAAGCTTTAACGTTGAGTGGTTTTCCATTTAAATATTGAAGTATGAAAGGAAGTCTGCAATGTTGCAAACCGAGATACGTCGTTTGGTAAGGTTTCACCGTCGACGTCATAACTATTCAAAGACGTTCTTATAGGTGAAATGAATTTCATGTCCCACAAAATACTTTGAAAGAACCTTCACACACATGCAATCTTCATTTCACAATAATTTGTATTCCTGTGTATAGTGTCTCAAAAGGGTATATGGGTGAATTTTTAAATGCCATCAGCTCAGACAATCTCGTGATTGTACCAATTTCTGTCAAACTGTTCTTACTGTCAACAAAAGTGCTAACGCTTCAAAGTGTTTTCTCATCTTATCTCCAAGGACCAATTACAACATTCATGCGGAAGAGAAGCAGTTATTGTAGAGTTTATCTCTATCAGGTCCTTATCTTTCTGTTTTTTTCAAATCTTTCATACCAACGGCAAAATGGTCTTGAGATTCTGGGGGAAAGTGTAGGGAATTAGACTGGAAAAGGTGAAATTAATGTTGCAGGTACTGGGATTTTTACCGTCCCTCGCGAAATTGCAAAATAACGAAATTATACTTGTATAAATAAACTGGCCAAGTACGACGTAGCTGTTCTGAAATCTTCATCATAGCCAATATCTCGCCCCCTCCCCTCAAAAAAACAATCTGTTCTAAACTCGAGGGATGAACATGTTCGTCATTTTTCTTTAAAAAATTTACCGCACCGCCTACTTGCAAAACTAAGTGAAATTAGACGTTTTTACCTTAGAAATAAATTGGACTGTGAGAGATAAGCAAAGTATGCAGTAATTGCAGTACCCGCGGCAAACATCGGTAATAATTTTTATGGAGGAATATAACAAACGTGGCGAAATTTTGTTTACAGCCTTATCAATAACCCGTGCGGTCGTGCGTCATAGCCACGCTACCGTGCTTAGGAAAAACGCCGTATGAGCCTTCAGGCGTTGCCAAATTTCCCCGAGCAAATCACTAATTGTCAGGAAACTATGCGAATATTTGTCTACCAATTCCTCAGATAATCTGGTTTATTATTTGATCTAAAACGTCTGAAACTTTCAAAGAAAAATATTCATAATTTTCCTCAAAAATAAACATTTTATCGAAGGAAATTTGGCAACTCTTGAATGTTCGTACGGCGTTCTTCCTTAGCGCGGCAGCACGGCTATGTCTGATCGTGAGCCTGAAGCTCAGAAGGAATCCTCGAACGTATATACATTCCGAAAGTGATTAACATTTGTTGGCGCGTATACGTAGTATACCGCCTTTGCGATCGTTTCGAACCCTGCTCGATACAATAACCGAGTCCCTTAGTTCCTTACCGAAAAGTGACTACCGCGAACTTCTGAGATTTTCCAAAGCGTGTAAAAAGTTTATTTATCCATCAATAATTATGATTTAAAGTTGTTTCTCATTCTGGGGCTCATTAGTTTATGTGCAGTGAATACCAAGAGTCTACGTTACTTGGTTTTTTCAAAAAAAGCCTA